TATCTGGGGAAGAATATGAATGTGTACATGTAGCCGCTTAAGGACGAATTGCAAGAAGCTTGGGATAATGGGTTCAAGACATACAACGCCTTTAGCAAACAGAACTTCATAATGCGTGCCTGATACATGTACTCGACGCATGACTTGCCGGCGTATGCGCTATTCGTTGGCTGGTGTGTGCATGGAAGCCACATGCAAGGGAGCTCTTGAGTTTCGTTGGCTGACGGCAGGGCGCAAGTATAACTGCTTTGACTTGCATAGACCGTTTCTATATCCTGGCCATATGTTCAGGAAAGACAAGAAGAACTTAGCTTATTTAGTTAATTTATGACATACTTAGCATACTTAGGTAAAAAATAGCATAATAATCTTTGTTAGCTCCAAAATGATATACACTTAGCTTAGTTTCCTCGAAAATGACATAATAACCTTACTAAGCTCCAAAATGACCTATTTACCTACCTTAGCTCCAAAATGACCTACACTTAGCATTTTTTCCTAGCTTAGCAATAAAATGACATTTTTACCTACCTTAGTTAGAATAAGAAGAAGAAGATAAAGAAGAGGAGAGGAGAAAAAGAAAGAGAAGAAAAAAATCTTCTTCTTCTTCTAACTAGTCTTCTTCTTCTTTTTCTTCTTCTTCTAACTTCCATCTTTCCCAATTTGCAGATTTGCTTTACAAGATGAAGCTTGGATTCATGGAGTGTACTATTCTTGTGGTGCTTCCTTGTTGTTTATAAAAAGTTGTTTGGATATGTATGTCTATATGGATATGTTGTTGGAAACTTGTTTCTGGTTATGTATATATGGATATGTTGAACTTTGTTGAACTATGTTGTTGGATTGGATGAAATATGTTGTTGGACATGTTGTTCGATATGTTGGATATGTATGCATGTATATCTGTGTTTGAAACCATATCTAATTAATGGGATTTAAATAAAAACAGGGGATATATAGCCTCTTTGCCGTCCGCTAGCAGACGACAAAGAGGAGACGTGGCAGTCACTTGTGTAAACTAGGAACACTGGCTGCCTATTTGGTCATTTTGCCGTCTGCTGGCAGACGGCAAAGTGATCAGCTATGCCGTCCGCTAGCAGACGGCAATGATTCAAACCTCTTTGTCGTCTGCTGGCGGACGGCATATCTGGACACATGGCAGCTTCGTAGTGCTGCCTAGCTGGGCTCTTTGCCGTCTGCCAGCAGACGGGAAAGATCCTTGACACTTTGCCGTCCGCTGGCAGATGACAAAGAGCACCGTTAACTCCCTAACAGCTCTCACGTCACCGCATTGCCGTCAGCTGTCTTTGCCGTCTGTTGGCCTCGGATGGCGGATGGCGTAATCCTTTGCCGTCCGTGTCTAAGAAGCGTACGACAAAGAAGGCCTTTGCTTGCAGGCGTTCATCCGGACAGTTTGTTGTTCGCTAGCGGGCGGCAAAGAAGTTTGCCGTTGTGATCTATGCTGATTCCAGTAGTGATAGGATTCAAAAGTGAATAACAATGTAGTTCCATGTTTATTCTATTCCTTTGTTCTAAGAGTGCTCTCAATCAAAATTGCCCTTAATGATATCCATTCTTCTTCAGTTGTGAAACCAAAACTATGAAAATGTCATTTTGAATTCTTTCTAAATGGAACATTTCAACGAGAAACGTAAGTGCCAAGATATAGGACCTTGAAGGAGGAGGGATGAAAGTGATAGTTTACAAGGATAAAATACATCAATAAGCAAAGAAATGAAGAAAAAGTAGGAGTGAGTGTGTAGAAGTAAATATTGCAAGAATTTTAAATATGCATCCTTCTTCTTATTTGAGGATTCCTTTGCGTTATTTTTAGATGAAATTTTCCACCCACTCAAACCACTTTCTATAGTACCTTCACTTTTCGTGTGATAATAAGCACTATATGATCCATAATTCACATAGTTTTCTAATCATGTAGGATTCAAGAGGACATGACAAAAGCCCCGTTTTTTTCCCAATACTTGTTTTGAGAATCATGTGAATAAAAGAAGCTCTAACTATGCAATTATGTGTTTGTCCTATTCTCTATTTCTAAGAATGCTCTAAACCGAATTGGTCCTACATGGAATCAAATTTTGGTTAGCTGCCAAACCTAAACATTGGAAGTCTCATTTTATATTCTTTCTAAATAGAATATTATGATAGAAAAATTTGAAGAACAAAACAAGGGTGCCAAGATATACACTCTCAAATGGGAGGGGGTGGATGTGATAAGTTTACAAGTGTTAACTACATCAATAATCAATGATTTTAAGAACAAATGGGAGAGAATATGTCGAAGAAAACATACAGACCATTTTAAATATGCGACACTTCTTCCTAAATAAGCATTCCCTTGCAATTTAATTAGATGAAAATTTCTGTCCACTCAAACCATTCTCTTTAATTCATTTTTTTCCTATGATATAAAATATTACATGATCCAAATTCCTATATTTTTTTAATCGTATGGGATTCAAGAGGACATGCAACCTTGTCTTGTGTTTCTTCTTCTTCTTCTTCTTCTTCTTCTTCTTCTTCTTCTTCTTCTTCTTCTTCTTCTTCTTCTTCTTCTTCTTCTTCTTCTTCTTCTTCTTCTTCTTCTTCTTCTTCTTCTTCTTCTTCTTCTTCTTCTTCTTCTTCTTCTTCTTCTTCTTCTTCTTCTTCTTCTTCTTCTTCTTCTTCTTCTTCTTCTTCTTCTTCTTCTTCTTCTTCTTCTTCTTCTTCTTCTTCTTCTTCTTCTTCTTCTTCTTCTTC